GGCCAACGATGCTTTTGGGAAACGCACCCCAGGACAGCTTGGCAACCAAATAGCCGTGCAGAGCCCTGAAACAACACCCTAGATCACTGTATGTTTAACAACCACCACTCATCTTTTTTTTTTTTTTAATTGCTTAAAACTGGTTTAATAATCCAATTTAATAACCCAATAATCCTAGGGTCAATGAATACCAGTATTTACTTTCAATTTACATTGGTTTTATACTTTTATACCAATTTATGTATGATTTTTTTTTTTTTTTGCTGCTGTTATCTTGGACAATTGACTTATTCATGACTTATTCATGATATAGGCTTATACCAGCAAAAAGTAAATTTTATGAAATTTGTGTCACTTTTTTAGTGAAAAAGTAATTATATAAGTAAGTGTACGAATGTAAGATAAAGGGCATTTTTTAACAAATATAATTAATTATGAATTCATAAATACAGCATCATTGGGTCTTCTTTTGGGAGTCGCACTACATCACGTTTACAACCTGAACTAAACTTGTCATAAAAACGTCAAATTACCTGATATTTTAAGAAACTTAAGTCTTATATAGTATGAATATGTGTAGTATGGATGTAATTCTGACGTACATTAGCCTTGTTGTCACTCTCATGTGACCTCCAGTTTGGCCAGAGGTCGTCCGGCACTTTTAGTCTATAAGTTTATGAATACTGTGAACATAGTCATAATATTTCACTCTTTTTTTTTGTGATTTCATATTCAGCCACAGTCATAAGGGTCTGAATCCCCTTTTTATGACATAATTTCCTATTTTGATTCTGCACAATATATATATATATATACACTCAGCTAAAGGATTATTAGGAACACCATACTAATACTGTGTTTGACCCCCTTTCGCCTTCAGAACTGCCTTAATTCTACGTGGCATTGATTCAACAAGGTGCTGAAAGCATTCTTTAGAAATATTGGCCCATATTGATAGGATAGCATCTTGCAGTTGATGGAGATTTGTGGGATGCACATCCAGGGCACAAAGCTCCCGTTCCACCACATCCCAAAGATGCTCTATTGGGTTGAAATCTGGTGACTGTGGGGGCCATTTTAGTACAGTGAACTCATTGTCATGTTCAAGAAACCAATTTGAAATGATTTGAGCTTTGTGACATGGTGCATTATCCTGCTGGAAGTAGCCATCAGAGGATGGGTACATGGTGGCCATAAAGGGATGGACATGGTCAGAAACAATGCTCAGGTAGGCCGTGGCATTTAAACGATGCCCAATTGGCACTAAGGGGCCTAAAGTGTGCCAAGAAAACATCCTCCACACCATTACACCACCACCACCAGCCTGCACAGTGGTAACAAGGCATGATAGATCCATGTTCTCATTCTGTTTACGCCAAATTCCGACTCTACCATCTGAATGTCTCAACAGAAATCGAGACTCATCAGACCAGGCAACATTTTTCCAGTCTTCAACTGTCCAATTTTGGTGAGCTCTTGCAAATTGTAGCCTCTTTTTCCTATTTGTAGTGGAGATGAGTGGTACCCGGTGGGGTCTTCTGCTGTTGTAGCCCATCCGCCTCAAGGTTGTGCGTGTTGTGGCTTCACAAATGCTTTGCTGCATACCTCGGTTGTAACGAGTGGTTATTTCAGTCAAAGTTGCTCTTCTATCAGCTTGAATCAGTCGGCCCATTCTCCTCTGACCTCTAGCATCAACAAGGCATTTTCGCCCACAGGACTGCCGCATACTGGATGTTTTTCCCTTTTCACACCATTCTTTGTAAACCCTAGAAATGGTTGTGCGTGAAAATCCCAGTAACTGAGCAGATTGTGAAATACTCAGACCGGCCCGTCTGGCACCAACAACCATGCCACGCTCAAAATTGCTTAAATCACCTTTCTTTCCCATTCTGACATTCAGTTTGGAGTTCAGGAGATTGTCTTGACCAGGACCACACCCCTAAGTGCATTGAAGCAACTGCCATGTGATTGGTTGATTAGATAATTGCATTAATGAGAAATTGAACAGGTGTTCCTAATAATCCTTTAGGTGAGTGTATATATCATCATTGAAGAGGTGTATTGAAGCGTTTGTATGTATGATTGCATTTTTTTATATATTTTGGTATCAAATGACACAGTGACCACACGAGCTCAAAACTGTATCTTCTCAGCTACAAGCGTCCGCCAGCACGTTTCGATAGCACTCATCTTTCTAAAGGTCTGATCTCACCCGTCAGCAATGGCAGGCCTGACTTTATCAGGGGAATTCTCCTCTTCCAGCCTGGTACATTGAAGAGATTCCAGTACTATCTGCCTCACTGGCTTTCTAACAGTCCCGCTGTGACAAAATTAGACTGTATTCACATCTGGCATCTGAGTAAAATGAATGAAGCATAATTAAAGCTTTTTTTATTTGCATTGTTTCTGGTTTAATAACGAATGAGTGAAAGGTCGTGCGGAGTGGAGGGATGAAACGCTTTTGTTCAGCCGTTGCTTTGCACAAATGATCTTTATCTTCACACTTCTCAAACACTCCCTCTCTCCTTCTTTCTTTCTTCGCTGGCTGTATGTGTGTGTGTGTGTGTGTAAAGTGTTGTGACAACTCCTATCCCGGAGTGCTTAAGCGCACATTCCATTCCTCCTAGCGGTCCCTCGGGTACGGCCCACCCTTTTCAATTAGAGCCGCAGCCAGAGAAAGACCAACAGGTGCAGAGGCCACAAAACAAGATGAATTAGGCAGCAAGCCAATGCAGCCACTGAAACACATACAATTACACCCACCCAAACACACACACACCAAACCAGTTCACATACAATTTGGACATATTTGTCGCCGGTTAAGCTGCGGTTTTGAGGTTCCAGCGCTGAGATGTTACAGGCTGCTTTTCTGGCGTTCTGTTGGACATTCTTCAGACACACTGTCAGCTGGACTCGTTCTGCGCATCTCAGCATCGAGCACATAAATATACTTGATCTCATCCTCTGTTCGAGGTCCAGTCCCATAAAAGCAGCATGGTTTATGTTCTGTCAACTTTTCACGCACGCTGGACTAATGAGATGAGCAGTTGATCAGTGTGCATTACCATCCATCACTGACTTCTTACCAGACGTTCTCGAATATGGATTGAACGATTGAATATGGATCAAAAGAGTTTACTGGTTCAGAGCGAATTCAGAGGGCGGCTCAGTTTTTAGTAATAAAAGACAGGGTTCTGGCAATGACCCTTCATGCCCTTTTCTCTTTTTTCTGTCTGAAGACCATGATATTCAATAAAGGCGCTTTAGCCTGGAGGAATCATGCAGAATTCATGTTTTAGAGACTGAAACAGACATACTTTTTAAAAGGGTTGTATGAACCGTGAAATGATGAACAGTCAACTATTCAAATAGTAGTTCATCAATGATCTGTGCTTAGCAAAGGCCACCCTTTACATTAATGTTAATGTGTATTTACATGAGTAAGTCATATTTACTTGTGGAACTTTTTCAAATGACAGATTGTTATTATTATTAGTGTTACAATCATCACTATTAGCTCATAGAGGTTAGTGGTTTAAACAATCCCCTTCGTGTAACTGCAGAATATGTTGAAGAAGACTCATGTGCTCACAAAGTCTGCATTTATTTAATCAGAAATACAGTAAAAACAGTAATAATGTGAAATATTATTACAATTTAAAATAGCTGCTTTCCATTGAAATATGTTTAAAAATGTACAGTTTAATATCTGTTTTTAACGTTTGTTACTAAAGCTGATGTTGAAACAGATTGGTGAGTGATAGAGGAACAGCTTTTTATTTCCCCTTGTGGCTGAGCCGTGTCTCATACCTGTAACCTGTTATTTTAAAAGCATACAGACCCTCGGGTCCTGTGTGCAGCACACAGACTTAAATCAAATGAAAATTCCTAGTAAATCCAGAAAGGCTAGTAGAGAACAAAGGAGTGCCTTTGCTCTCATAAGAACACTCTTCTCCTTCTGAAATACAACTTCAGACCGTGCGTTTCAGCAGCCGAGCACATTTTCCCCACTATTTGGTGGAAAAGTTTGGCCGTCACTGAGAGAAAAGAAAAAATGACTGTAAAAATCTGTATCTGGCTGAAATATAGATATATGGAGAACAGACCGTGAATACTAGCTTTTGGTCCTTTTTGCGATCCATCCTAAATAATATTGGGATTTTTCAGTTAAAGATTAGTGCATCTTCAATCACAGAATGCCAAAGGTGTTTGTGTGGCTAATATTGCCCACAACATCTTCAATTGTTTACATGTAAATGCTTTAACTTACTACGTACTTAAGTGTTGACAATTATATCACCGCAAAGTACATACCTTATGTAGTCAGTCAAGTGCATCGTGTAGGTATTGCAATTGGGATTCAGGAGTTGGCTGTTATTTTTGATTGGATTGTGCCCTCTTGTGGTCACGTATAACATAACAGCATATGCCACCACTGACGAGAACTTTTCTGTGGCTGTATTTCCACATTTACTGTTTGTTTCAGTTAAATGTCCATTGTTCGTGCTTGGAGTCAATTATATTATTTGTGATAACGCAATAAAACATGCTAAATTATGCGGACATTTTTGGTCATACAAAGAAATTGTGAACATATACAAAAATAAAAAGAGAGAGAGAACCAACAAAATATTAATAACTGATTATGTTGTAGTCAGTGTATGCTTTTTTACTCTAAGCCTTTTGTTTTTAGTAAAATAAAACTTGTAGTTTGCCCTTTTCCCCAAAAAATAAATCTGTAATATAAATACCTTAAACAAGTTTAATGTTTAGTGATTCCCTCATATTTAAAATATTTAAATAATATTTTTAACTTGTATGGTCATTAAAAACAAATGAGAAATCACTTTTGGCCACTACTGTATATATAATATGTTAATAAAAACCAATCAATACTATAATGTAATATGCTATTAATAATATTGTATTAATTATGCATATGAAAAATATCTTATTTACACATTTTACAAGTAGAAAATCAAAAGTCACAGTATAGACAGAAATTCCAACATTTCTTTTTTTCTTTATCAGAATATATAAACATTTTCAATATATACCGGTACATAAAATGTGTTGCTCCACCTGATGTCATATATAGGCATTAAAAACGTCCTGTAAAAACAATCAACTTTTTTCAAAACTACGTGGATGGCTTCCTCCTCTTCCTCCCACACAGCATATGGAAGGGGGACATTTTGGAGTGGGTTTTCTGTGAGGCTCCTGGAGACTCTGGATCAGTATCTGGGTCAGAATGTGATTGCGGAGAAGCAACGTACACTGGAACAACAGGAAGAGGCGACGATAAAGAGGTTTGTGCCTGATAATCTTGACATGATCTTGACTCTTTTTCCTCAGAATCATTCAGGCCCCTCAAGTGGATCACAAAATTTGACGTCTGCTGTTCCAAAGACATGAAATCCTCTTGGATCTCAGAAAACTGTCACCGGAAAAACAAAACAAATCAAAGCATATCAAAAGCAAGAATATGCTCTTTCACACTAGTTTTGTCTGTTATAGTTTTGATTCAGTCATATTTTCCTCTAAACTGTCAGAATATACCCTGAGCATCTCAGTATGATTGAATCTTCATCAGAGGCTGTTATCGCCCAGTGATGTATTATAGTACATCATACTTTACATGCACATAGTATACTCACATAAAGCAATATATACTATATAGCAAATCCTGGCTGATTGATTGTTTATATCATCATCAAAATGTAGACTGTATTATCTATATAAAAAGTAGGATATATATTATATCCAACTTTTTCTCATACATAAAGTACACTCAAGTAAAGTGATACCGGAAGCTAGTGATTACAGTCTATGAAGTTATAATTATGGATATGGATATGGATATTTTTCGTACAAAATCGCTGAGATCGTATGGATTACTTTTATGATAGATGGATGTGCATTTTTGGGCTTCAAAATCTCAGTTACTATTCACTCCCATTAAAAATCTTGAGAGTCGGGACATTTTTTAATATAACTCTGTGTTTGGCTGAAAGAAGAAAGTCATGTACACCTAGGATGGCTTGAGGGTGAGTAAATTATGGGATAATTTTCATTTTTGGGTGAATTAACCCTTTAAGTTGCTGCGTGAGCGGGACATTTCGAGACTCACACCTATAAGTAAATACGGTTTTCAATCCCAGAAACGGACAGAGAGATCATAGCCACAACAGTGTACTAATGTAATCAACTCCTTGAATGTAGACTATATCATCACACAGCTCTAATCTGCGAAATGTGACAATAAGGCAAGAAGATATTAAGATATTAACATCATGATTTTCTGTAAAACTGTCTTGAAACAATGTGTATTGTGAAAAGTGCCACATAAATAAATTTGACTTGACTATGTGAGAGGCTGTGAATGTCTTCATACCAGATCTGTGTTGGACTGTAATAATTCTTTGGTCCATTTAGAGTCGATGCTGGTACCAAAAGTCCCGGCCAGACCCTGATGGCTGCTGCGAAGTGCCTGAGGAAGAGTAGCCACACTTCATTCCACACTTTATAATATCCAAGTTGCTGTGTATACTTGTCTTGCTATACTTTCTGAAAATATCCTCATAAAATCATTAAACCCTGTCAAATTATTCACAAAGGACTATATAAATGTGTGTATTGACCTGTAAAAGGTTTATATTGGTTTCCAGCTGCGTCCGGCACTGTTGGACTTTGCTTTTGAACTGGCCGAGTTCTGCGAACAGGTTCTGAAGCACACACGACACAAATAAATACACCTATATCAGTAAGCATTCATCACAGAAGGTCAATGTAAGATTGTGTATGGCACAGACGTGCGTCACCTCGGTGTCTGTGAGGACGGCGTGAGGGTCGTGGGCTTCCTGTGTGCTGTCAGGGCTCAGAGTCACTCTGGTGTGTAACTCCTCCAGCAGAGCCCAGCGCTTCTGTAACGCGCTCTGAACCGCACACACACTCACCTCACACCCCCGCTGAACCTGCAGCAGGGACCGCAGAGAGCTCATCCTGACACACACAAAACATGAGCATTAGAAACTATTGGAAAACCCACACTTAACAATACAACACCGTAACATCATAAAACACAATTCTATCTAGCCATGATAAGACAAAACACCAGTGTGGTGTTAAATAGTCATAATAAAGAATGAGTAGGCGTGTGTCTAATCGTTTGTCATAAGCTTTTGCCAATACAAGTGTACAGTGTGAAAAAGAAGTAAACTTTAGCATACTTTTACAAAGAGTACTTACTATGGAAATGATATGCTTAAAAAAAGAAAATAGTTCAAAGCAAACTAAATGTTTTCGGACCATTGCATGTTATATACAATTAAAAATGTATTATAGTTGAAATTTATATGAAATGCGAATACTTAAGGATTTAAGTACATCTTTATATGTAATTTCATAATTACTTCTGCTGTCCTTGAAACATGATTAAAGTGAACTGACAAATGTACTGACAAGCATTTATGGTAAATAAGCTAAATATACTTTATTGTCATTACAACTGAAACTTGTATGTCATGTATTTAAATATATCTGTAATTACACATTTATAACAATGAAGTAAAGATGCAATTAGTACATTTAAAATATATTCATTCTAAATTTAATATCAAATAACACATTTCAGTCGAAATCATAATCAAGTACTACTTTAGTCAACACGTTCAAATAAGTGGACTTTAAAGCGTGACCAAAGATTTAAAAAAATATATATATTTAAACTGTGATTTGAATAAAAAAAATATATATAATATGATATTATTACATAGTGCACTTTTTAGGTCAGAGGCTTAAGTGGCTTTTTTTTTCTCATTAGTATTATGTAATCTGCAAGTACATTTTTTTAAAACTGCATTGTTTTGTTTTATGTTTACTGGGGTGTACTTATAATGTTAGTATGATTTTACATCAAAAATGGTCATAATTTGGAAATAAAAGGCATTTTTCCTACACTTATTTTAGCCTCTGATTTGAACGCTCTGTTGGAAGGGGCGTGTCTGTGTGAGACTTCAGTGTAAACGCCCACTGCTGTGATTGGCTGACGTCTTTGCATATGAAATCGCTAAGTATTATATGTGTGGAACTCTCTTGAAAACTTTCAGCATATTTTTACTATTACAGCTCTCAAGGTTTCAAGGCAGAAAAACCGTGGTAACAAGTGGAAGAAAACGGGCAAAATCCACGAAATAAGAGAAAAAAGTCTTGTTGTGCCTTTGAATGTCAGAATCAGAATCCAAAAAAAGATGGTCTTCATTTTTACAGATTATTGTGGTCGAAGACGCCATTTGAAGCTAAACACGTTTATGGTTGCAAGCCATTAAACGGACAGTTGAAGATTGCACTATTATTTAAAGCATGAATTTTATGTAAACACTAGATCTACATAATATTCACATATAGAGTTCACAGGGGGCATAACTGTATTAGCCCTACAGTTACAGCATAAAATAATATTTATAACATATTAAAGAGACTACATTTATATACCTATAACATTTTTATTTCACATTTCAGACTTTTTTCCTCGCGATTGCGAGCTTATATCTCCCAATTTGGACTTTATAACTTGCAATTGCACGTTTATATCACAATTCACACCAAAAAAGGTCAGAAATGCATGAAATAAGCTCACACTTCTGAGGGGAAAAGGCAGAATATCGAGTTTATATTCAGATTTTTCTCCTCAGAATTGTGAGATATAAACTCGGAATAGTGAGAAAAAAAGTCAATTATTTTTTATTTTATATTTTGGCTTCCATAGAGTGCTACTGCAGAACTGTCCTTTTCTGCCTCTAAGTAGGCCCCGCCAACACAAAACACGTCATTGCTATTTGCAAACACCCAAAGTCTATTACGCCATAGATAGGCACATTCCACAATGAGTCGTTCTCTGGGCTTGGTTTCACTAAAAGCTGTTTTTGGACTGACAAGGAGGTTTTCGGTTCTGAAACTTACAGGATATTCTTATAGTATGATGACCTCTTATATGTCAAAAGCTCAAGGAAAATTAGATTTCTCAGTTCATGACCGCTTTAAATATACTTTTTAAGATTTGAAGTACACTACAAGTACACATTCGATACAATTAAGCAAACTATTTCTCATAAACATTCAAATGAAAGCATGTTTCTTCGCATGTCAGTTTGCTGTCTGAAATCATACATGACATGGCAGGGTGTGAGTTCAAACATAGAAACAGCCACACATATTGAAGCCTGAAAAGTTTGTGACAATTGCTAAATATTTGTCATATCTGTGTATGTAGATCTGTACAGCTCACCTGTCCTGCAGGTAAGAGCGTATCTGGTTAACTCTTTCTTCAATTACACATTTCTCATTTCTCTCCTTCTCTTCCTCACAGGCCCCCCCGCGGAATGTCTGAGACACTGCCTGAATGCAAAAAGACAAATGATTGGTATCTAATGTTAGTAATTCATGTCTAGCAGGATCAACAAGAGCAGTCTGTTTGCAACGCTACATGATTATAAATATGTAATGAGTTCGACATGACAGCATAATGACTACACATTCCATTAATGACAGTGTTCATTCTGACAGAAAGTAAGGATGGGCTTATATGGTTCGAATATGTCAATGCACCACCCATCCTTCAGAGACAAACCTGTAGTCTGGAGAGGAGGCCTCGTATGTGGGGCTCGCTGGGGTCCGGCAGGGGCTCGTGGAGGAGGGACACCACTAAACCATCCGCTAGAACATTTACCAGGGATTCAAGATGACCTGCATCCTGCTGTGGATTTATACTGATACAAACAAGATAAATGAAATTAATGGGTTTTAACCACAGGAAGACAGGGGCTGCATCCCAATTTATATACTTCCCTACTATATAGTTGGCGAAAAACAGTAGGCCTATGTGTCAAGACTTCACAGTCCTCATAAAGAGTAGGCAAAAAAAGTACCCAGATGACCTACTACTATACCGGAGAGGTCGGTTCACATACATAGAACATAGTTTTTTAGAGGTTGTCGAGTAAGGGGGTTTATTAAAGGAATTTTCAGTGCATGTTAAATCTGTGGCATCATGCTATTGATTTTGACAGAAAATACTTTGGGGTCATCTCTCAAATCATTAAAAAAGAAGAGTAAAAGAATACTAAAGCCAGAAGAACTAAACATTATATTTGTTACCATGAGGCCAGTGAATTAAGTCCCGTTCACACCAAAAACAATAACTATAAAGATAACTTTAACGATAACTATATTAGCATCCACACTAGCGAATGATATCGTTCGATGCAGTACTGTCATCTGTCTCTTTAAATGCTTGAGCTCTTAAAGGGATAGTTCACCCAAAAATGAATATTCTGTCAGTAATTACTCTCCCTCATGTTGTTCCAACCCCGTACGACTTTCGTTCATCTTCGGAACACAGTTTAAGATATTTTTGATTAAATCTGAGAGCTGGATCACTCCTCCATAGGCTTCTCTGTAATTGAAACTTTCCGGCCCAGAAAGTTAGTAAAGACTGTAGTCACTTGGACTATTTTAAACATTGTCTTTACTAACTTTCTGGGCCGGCAAGTTTCAATTACAGAGAAGCCTATGGAGGAGTCAATTTTTGGGTGAACTAACCATTTAAAGCAGAATTCTGATTGGCTGTCATTGTTTTATTGTTGTTTATTGGGGGGGGGGGGGGGGGGGGGGTCGATCTGACAGAGATTATTAATTTTAGTTTATGTTCATTTCAACATTTACTGTTAGATTGTTAATATGTATAATATTATTTAACTGACATGAACTAACAATGAACAGTTGTATTTTTACTAACCAAAGTTAACAAAGATGATAAATACTGTGACAAATGTTCAGATCATTGTTAGGTAATGTTAGTAAATGCATCATTAACTAACATTAACTAATGGCACCTTATTGTAAAGTGTTACTTGAATTGAACCCAGAAAATGTCTCTTCTATTCCATTGCTGGTCAAGTTGATCCACATGTGATGTTTAAACTGCTTGAAACACTGGTTAAACTCTGTATTCATGAAATTTTGTGACTTTTTCTCATTTCGGGTCATGAATGTGCGTGCAAAGTTTCGACACATAGGTGTTTTTTTAGAAAGGCTATAAACATTTTGGTGACTACGATGGTCAGGTAAAAAACAGAAAAGCTTTATTTGTAGATTGACTAAAATATGTATTTTAGTATATTATATATAATATACACTCAACGGCCACTTTATTAGGTACACCTGTCCAACTGCTCGTTAACACTTAATTTCTAAGCAGCCAATCACATGGCGGCAACTCAGTGCATTTAGGCATGTAGACATGGTCAAGACAATCTCCTGCAGTTCAAACCGAGCATCAGTATGGGGAAGAAAGTTGATTTGAGTGACTTTGAACGTGGCATGATTGTTGGTGCCAGAAGGGCTGGTCTGAGTATTTCAGAAACTGCTAATCTACTGGGATTTTCACGCACAACCATCTCTAGGGTTTACAGAGAATGGTCCGAAAAAGAAAAAACATCCAGTGAGCGGCAGTTCTGTGGGCGGAAATGCCTTGTTGATGCCAGAGGTCAGAGGAGAATGGCCAGACTGGTTCGAGCTGATAGAAGGGCAACAGTGACTGAAATAACCACTCGTTACAACCGAGGTATGCAGCAAAGCATTTGTGAAGCCACAACACGCACAACCTTGAGGCGGATGGGCTACAACAGCAGAAGACTCCACCGGGTACCACTCATCTCCACTACAAATAGGAAAAAGAGGCTACAATTTGCAAGAGCTCACCAAAATTGAACAGTTGAAGACTGGAAAAATGTTGCCTGGTCTGATGAGTCTCGATTTCTGTTGAGACATTCAGATGTTAGAGTCAGAATTTGGCGTAAACAGAATGAGAACATGGAACCATCATGCCTTGTTACCACTGTGCAGGCTGGTGGTGGTGGTGTAATGGTGTGGGGGATGTTTTCCTGGCACACTTTAGGCCCCTTAGTGCCAATTGGGCATCGTTTAAATGCCACGGCCTACCTGAGCATTGTTTCTGACCATGTCCATCCCTTTATGGCCACCATGTACCCATCCTCTGATGGCTACTTCCACCATGTCACAAAGCTCTAATCATTTCAAATTGGTTTCTTGAACATGACAATGAGTTCACTGTACTAAAATGGCCTCCACAGTCACCAGATCTCAACCCAATAGAGCATCTTTGGGATGTGGTGGAACGGGAGATTCGCATCATGGATGTGCAGCCGACAAATCTGCGGCAACTGTGTGATGCCATCATGTCAATATGGACCAAACTCCCTGAGGAATGCTTCCAGCACCTTGTTGAATCTATGCCACAAAGAATTGAGGCAGTTCTGAAGGCAAAAGGGGGTCCAACCCTTTACTAGCATGGGGTACCTAATAAAGTGGCCGGTGAGTGTATATTTAAGACTTGAAATTAAGGGCTCATCTTCTGAATCATCCCAGGAGAATTCGCTTGTTTGTTTCTTGTTTTATTTTGTGTCTATGCAGCTAATTTTGAATATAAAAATATGTGGTTCAAAGTCAAACTGACTCCTATCACAAAGAATGGAACTAATTTAACACAACAGGAGATCACAATTTCTCATATTTTATGACAAGCCACAATAGAGGTTTTCTGTAAAAGCATGACTCTTAAGTGTTTTTCATAGTGTTGATTTATGGCGAATTGCATGGAAACAAACTCATATTTTCAAATCAACAGGAGTGTTAAATGTGCAATTACTGTATGTGAACAAGAGAATCTGGGTTTGTTCTCTCTCACCTGGCCTGCTGCTGGTTTTCAGCCGTTTTTCTCACTATCACCTCATCATTGTACGGTAAATGCTGAGAAAATCACACAAAAAAAATACAGCAATATTTATTTACGTGACATCATTTCAATTGTTGAAGCTGGCAAAGGATGCGAAACTAAAATCACTATTGCTCTGAAGCACATGTTAAATTCCTCAAGATCTAAGAAGTCAAATAAATTCAATAGTAGACTGACCTGCTTTACTTTCTGTCCATTACCGAGCAGGAATCGTAAGGCTGAAGCACACAGAGCCGTCACGACACACATCAGCCCAGCGAGAAGCAGTCGACACACGGCTTCAGTCAGACTGACAGACTCCTCCAGAACAAACCAGCACACGGCTGCTGCAATCGGAACCAGACACTGACTCCAGTTCGGCCAGTTTCTCCAATGCAGTCTGAGAGAGAGTGAATCATAATATCGCCACAGTCTAGGCTAACCCAAAGGAATCTGAGTAATGCTAGGGTCTTGTGGTGGTTGTCAGGGAGTTGCTATGTTGCCATGCGCTGGGCAGGTCTATATATAATCAGGCCCCTCCTTTAATGTAAGTGGGATTGTTTTTAGCCTGTTTTATTATCTGTTTTATGTCTGAACACTTATTGCAATTTTGAACCCCATTGACTTTAACTGAAAAGACAAAATAAAAATATAACACTGAGGCATTTCTCTAAAAAAAAAAAAAATCTTTTATCCCTTTAAGGGAATCACTCACTACGGAAGTATTTGTAGTAGTCAGTATAATCATCTATACGTTCGTATGTACAGTAGTTACAGTATAAGAACTGAGAATCTGAAAGTCTTTTCCTTTTTGAAAATGAGAAATACACTTTAGCATATGTCAAATGCAATAAAATCAAGAATCTGTGATTTGTTCATTCGATGATAATTCTATTATTTACTGACAAAAGAACAGAGAAAAGATTTTCAAAGTTTTCACTGACCAACTTCTTATTCGTATTTTGTAAGTATAAACAAATGTTGATTTTGTTTGTTGATTTCAAAGAATTTAGGTCTTTCACCTTCTACCATACAGTAATATTGTGAAAATATTCAGGGAATCCAGAGAAATCTTAGTCCGTGTAGGGCAAGGCAGGAAACCTCTGTTTAATGTGTGTGACCTTTGACCCCTCAGCTGGCATTGCATGAGAAACCATCATGCTACTGTTAAATACAGCCACATGTGCTCAGGAGTACTTTGGAAAACTGTTGTCAGTTAACACATGACCCTGCATCAAGAAATGCATCTTGAATCTCTGTTACGCAAGGAGAAAGCTATACATCAACTCTGTGCGTAGATGCCGCAGAGTTCTCTGGGCCCGAGCTCATCTCAGATGATCCAAAAGACAGTGGAAATGTGTGCTGTGGTCAGATGGGTCCATGTTTCAGCTTGTTTTTTTTTTTTTGGAAAAACAGGCATCGAGTTCTCAGTCCCAAAGAATAAAGGGACCATTCAGATTTTCATTAGCGAAAGGTGCAAAAGCAAACATCTGTCATGGTATGAAGGAGCATCAGTGCAAACGGCATGGGTGACTTGCATTTTGCATGTGTGTGTGAAAGTATCATTGACATAGAGTCGTATATTGGGATTGTACAGAGACATTTAATGGCATCAAGATGACATCTTTCCTGGGAAGCACGAAAATGCCAGGCCTCATTCTGCACATGCTAAGACTGAGTGGTTTCTAGCCACTGTAGAAAGGATGTGCCTGACTTCCTGCAGTCCAGATCTGTCTCGCATTGAAAAGGGGAATCAGACAACGATGACCACAGACTGTCGAGCTGCTGTCTTGTATCAGGAAAGATTGGGCAAATATTCCACTTGCAAAACTTCAACAATTAGTATCCTCAATTCCCAAATGATTACATTTAAAAGGTGTAATTAAAAGGAAAGCTCATGTGACACAGTTGTAAACATGCTTTTTTTTTTTTTTTGGAGTGTGTTGCAGCCACCAAAAAAATTTTTTTTCATATACAAAATACACATAAGTTGGTCAGTGAAAACTTTGAAAATCTGTTCTTTGCACTTTTGTCAGTTAAATAAAGTTTCAAGAGAATTAACAAATCACAGATTCCTGTTTTTATTGCATTTTACAAAATGCCCCGACTTTTATGGATTTGGGGTTGTATTAAAACTGTCTTGTGTGTATTTAAAATATATTTATTATTGCAAATTTGTAATAAAGAAGTTGCAATTTAGTACATTTAAAATATATTAACTTTCAAATGTTACATCAAAAAACGCTACAGTTGAAATTATAATCATGTACTTCACATGTCCTAGTATGTCAACACATCAAAATCAGTGTACTTCTTGAAAAAAGATAATTAAAACAATGTACTTTACAGTAAAAATGTTGGTTACTATATTTTAATGTGTCCCTGTTATAGTGTACATTTAAGTACTGAGTAATAGTAATTAACAACTGTACATGGATTTGGTTTAGGGTTAGTTGCATGTTTGAATATGTAACGTGTAACAAAGACATATTAGAATAAAAGTTTTACCAAATTTTTAATTTGACATTATTACAAAGGGCACTTTTTAAAGGTGTACTTAAGTGTGGTAAATTAATGCATGAAAGTGGTAAATATAGGCTGTACTTTTGAAAATAGAATAGCAGGACACTGACTACAGGTGCACATTCAATGCAATTCAGCACACTTCTTTTTTACAAGGGTTAATCTACTCTCAGCAGCACTCCAAACACCCACCTCATCCATCTCCACTCTCTTCCATCTCTCTCCTCCACCTCTCGTGTGATCATCTCGTTCTCCTCTCTTCCATCCTGTCCTCCTCTGCCTCGTGTCCCGCTCGGCTCCCAGCAGCTCCACACATGTCCAGCGCTCAGCTGAGGCATGAATCCTCATGGACGCCCTGCGTGAAGTGTTTGTGTTGCTCAAATCATTCTGTGGAGACCAAACACTGGATTTTCCAGTTGTACCAGTCGGTCCAGCAGGTTTAATTCATCAAAGACTAATCTTTATTGTTTTCCTTGTTGGGTAAGAATGTGAGGAATGTGGTATGGTGAGGGAAGTTGGTGAACTCGAGGCACTTGTGCCAGCTGTCACCGCTCCCATATAGCCTACACAAGATATGTCATCATAAGGTCACGATACAAAATATAGGCTAAAGCAGGTGTGATCCTTGTGAAAAAACTAAAGTTAATAGTAGGCCTACTGAATGTGCACTTTATTGTAGGCCTACTTAAAATCTTAAAAGTAGCCTAGGCTATATTTAAAAAATAAAATAAATAAAACTGTAGCTACAAGCAGATATTATATGAATATATGAAGGAGAAGGACAAAACGTTCTTCATTTATGTTTAGGTTTGTTCTGAATGTTTACAATGTATACATATTTTTGATATCCTCAATGCCATATGTGAGTGTAACGTTAACAGTAGGCTAAATGCCACGTTCCAGGCAACCTGTAAGTAACCCGTGTTTTTCCAACCTTATACCCGTGAAAGTGCACTGGAACGGCAGTCAAACCCGTGACTTCCCACCCGTGAACTCGTACTAGATCGATGCACTCCCAGTTACGACTCGAGCTCTGACGTCACATAGCCCGCGAAACCATACAAAACAACAATGGTTTGTTTACATCTAGCTACCACAATTCCTTGCGCTCAGGTAGTTTGGCGTGACTGGCCTGGAACGCTACAAAGTCGTGAGTCGTGGTTTGAAGTCGTGATTTACGTGCTCAAAAACCTGCCAGGAACGCAGCATAAGTAACTGGACGGTTTAAAAACAAAATGTGAATAGTGCATAATCCTAATTTTAATAAAAACACTTAGTAAATAAAAAAAATGTAAAAAGAAAAAACGATCCGTATAGTTGCACAAACAGAACTACTTTTCTAGGCGGATGAACTTTCTGACGTAATTCCTGCGTCTTGTGGAGTCGGTGTCGTTTCGCTAATTAAAAATGCACGACATGACGTCCTTTTTGGTATTCGCGGATTACATTGGCTCGATATTGAGCCAAAACATTATAGTTTAAATGATGCTGTCGATACATTTTACTATTGTATTTAATCCAGAACATTTCTTTAAAAATGCAGTCATACACAAAAAAGCAAAGATGAGGGATTTGAGGACTGACACTCAGGGAAGACATCAAGTGTACAAAAACACATTTATTTCCCATCACTAGGAGATAACAGTAGACACCAACTCAGAGACACGAGGCGCATTACTGTACATTAACCGTCAATAATTACAACAATACTTATCATAGTACAGATACTTTTTTTTTTACATTGTACAAGGTTGTCTCAGTATAAATAGTGGATATTGTATATATTTCCCTTTTTCAGGTTATAAAGATGCAGCAGTGCTCCACTGACAGATGTGCAAAACCCAAATAAATACTACTATGTCCATAAGCACAAGTTACATGAAATACACAAGTTCTCCAGTCATTTTATGATACACAGAATAATATGAGGAATCAGATTGAGGGGGGTGGAGGAATTATTTGTTTAACCTTCACTGAACCTCATTCTGCCTGGTGACTCCTTCCATGGACCAAATATATTGTAAGTAAAAGTTGATTTGGGTTTTGCTTTCGATCACATGTCTGAAGTAAGGTGATGTGAGCATTGATGATCTGATCTTGGATGTTTGATGTTTAACTTATCAATGCCTGAATTATTATGGAATCTTGAGATGTAGCTAGACTGAATCTCATAAAGAAATGACAAGATCATATTTCCCCCCTAAAACCAAAAGAAAATTACACTCTATTTTGTATCAAGAAACAGAAGTCTGTTTTCCTGACATATGATCTATGCAAATCATAATTATTTAATTGTTTTTTGGGGGTAAAATGGGATATTTCACAAGATTCCCCTGCTAATTCAAGCAAGTTTTCTTTTAAAAGGTTCATGAAAACAGAGCCTGAGTGAAATTATTTAAAGGTGATTTACAGGCTCTGTCAATACACTGAATTTCACTTTAAGAATTCCAAATATATTCAAACAAAATCCAGTGAAAGTGAAAATCCACAGCATTTGACCCCTTTATTGTGGGAAACATGAAATTACTTAATAAATAAAAAATATTTTAAAGGTCTCTCCTCAGTCTCAGTCAGGTATGAAAAACTCTCTCTCACTAATAGGGGAAAATTACCTGAATAAAAAAATAATACAAGGAACAACAATCTAATTAGGCCAAAATGAATATCATAAAAGAGGCAGGATGGCAGAGGTTAAAAGTCATGATAGTTCCTGAAATCACACATGGATGGGTCTTTTTGGGTCTCTAGAAACACAGTTAATCACTCCAGTGTTTGGAATATATTTTATAAAAAACATCTTCACTATTTAAGTTTATTTTTTACTCTTCAAGGAAATAAAAATAAATCTGTTTGCTCGTTTAAAGTAATTGATCTGTCCCCCTTCAGTAAACAACGGAGAGCTTCTTCACGTGTGATTCAGTGTCAGGGTTTGGTAATATGAACTTCACTGGCCCCCGTCCCATTGGTGGTGGTGGTGATGATGTACTGCGTGGTGGTCTGCTGACTGACGGCAGGCTGCTCCAGCGGGTCGGGGTGAACCTGTGCTACGGTGGACGGGACGCTCACCTGCTTCCCATCCAGCTCCGACTGTCCGTCTGAGATGACGTAGTGTGTCTGCAATGCACGAGAAACAAAACAACAATTGCAGGACACCATCTGAAAGTGGAAGCCAGGTTGTTCTTCTAGTGAACGTCAGACTCACCGTTTTGACCTGACTGTTGTTGACGGCAGAGGTGACGGGGGTGCTGGCCTCTGCGATCACATACTGAGTGTGAGGAAGAGCCATCATCTGGATCTCAGATGCTTATAGGAGCAAAGGAGGGAAACACAATGCTGTCTTTATACTCACAGGTTAATATAACCTTAAAAACAGGTGCTTTTGCTAAATGTACTTACGATAACCCCTGTAGTTCCAGTTGCTGGGAAGGTACGCGTGCTGTGCAGCACCTTGAGTCTGATTAGTGGACGTCTGTAGAGTCTGGCTCTGAGCCAGGGTCACAGGGGTCAGCTGGGCAGTGCTTAGCTCCTGGGCAGCTTGCTGAGAGGAGGGACTTAGAGGCTGACCTGACACCTGATTGGATGGTAGGAAGTGTCAAAACAAGTAGTGACAGTGAGTCTGATGCCACTAAACTACACAAAAGTACATGCAATTACAAAACAAGCATATTTTTTTCCTACCAAGATTATTAACATATTTTAAATTTTGTTGAACTGTCAAATACTCGTCATTCACTGATGATCCAAAATTATTTCATTCCTCATCATAGTACATTATGGACTAAAAACAGACTAATACTTTGATTTTCTCTGATATATACTGTGATATGAAAAAATACTGGAATTTTCGCAACAAAATCATTCCGTAGTGATTTTATTGGGGAGTGCATTTGCATTAAAAAAATAAAATTAAAAAAACGTACGACTTTTTTTAGTACCATCGTTTTAGGGCTGTACGATTTAGCTAAAAATGTTATACTGCAAAATGCAATAATACTGTTTTACTGTAAAATAAATCAAGCACTTAAATATAGTTTTATTTTACAGTACAATCTTAATTTCCTCATTTTCAAATGTTAAACCATCAAACTTTTATTGTGGCAATTTGCCTGAAAAAGTTCAGAAAACTTCAGAAACCCGAATTGCATATATTTGTTTAAAAAGGGGAATTCACCACTGGCTAGATGGGCTTTTAATAATACTTGGCTGTCTATGCTGTATTTTTTTCTGGTGCTACATGACTAGAGAACACAGAAAAAGGCCTGTGGCGTTTCCGTCAAAAACTTCAACACCCATAATGCAATTTTGAAACCATTTTGCCATTCTCAAAAGCATTGTAATCCTAAGCAGATCGTAGAACCGTTGCGGCAATGGTCTCTATGATCATCTTTGCTCACAATGCTTCTGAGAAACAGCCCTGAACAGTGCTGGGTAGATTACTTACAACATTTTAGTCCATTACTGATTCCAAATTACATGACAAAAATTATAGTTAGTAACGTAATCCATTACATTACATGTTTAAGGTAATCTAATCCGACTACTTTTTGATTACTTTCGACTTAACTTGTTTATCACATCAAATTGAATAGGATAATATTGTGCATTGTGCATATTTTATAGTGCATAAAATATTACATTACGTCGGCATTCCCAAAATGGGTTTCGTGATGGAACTGAAGGGAGTTTGTGAGTTTAATGAATAACATGTAATCAATATAAAATAACAGTAGTCTGATTACAAGTATTTTAAACTGTAAAATAATCTAATTAAAAGAACTTAATTTTTTTAATCTGATTACATAATCCAGATTACATGAAATCAGTTACTACCCAGTACTGGCCCTGGAGTTGTCAAAAGTCCTCCAAATGACGCAAAATTATGCATTTTCTTCATCTGGTAGACTTTTGCTGACAAATAATCAGGAATGCAGGTGACACAGAGAAACACTCCAAATTGTCCATTTACATATACAACTGACACTGTACCAATACAAAGCTGGATGAAAATTGGAGAAGTTTATCCTTTAATTAAATCCCTGCCATTTACAGCCCACATATGCTGTAGAGGACAGCTGCTCACCTGTGCATTGGCCTGCACTGTCCCTGTGGGCTCAGACACCTGTATGTGCTGAACCTGAATCGAGTGCTGACTGTAACTGTGAGGGTCATGTAACTGACTCACATCTACAGTAGAGTGCTGAGAGTGAGGAGAGGACGCCTGCAGAGACAGACAGACACAACACACTTATCAAATCACTCCAAAACACCTCATGTTGTCGGAAACCTCGTATGTCCAAAAACACTACTTCTCAGGAAACTTTAAAAAAAAAAAAAAAAATTAAACAGCATTGTTAAAGTTTATATTGTGGCTTTATATATGGTCAGACACTT